CCTGGCACGCACCCCCCCACACTGCTCCCTGTAATCCCCCCGGCACTCACTGACCCCATCCCGCACTCACCCCCAGTGCCTCCTGTAACTCCCCAGTACCCACCCACCATGCCACCTGTTACCCTCCCAGTGCCTCCTGTATGTCCTCACTGCCACTTGTAGCCTTACCCGCAGCACTCCCTGACCCCATCCCGCACTCACCCCCAGTGCCTCCTGTAACTCCCCAGTACCCACCCACCATGCCACCTGTTACCCTCCCAGTGCCTCCTGTATGTCCTCACTGCCACTTGTAGCCTTACCCGCACTGCCCAGCACTTACCCGCACTGCCTCCTGTAGCCCCCATCCTCCACTGCCACCTTCCAGGCAGCCTTTCTCCTGCATTAAGAAGCAAAAAGGATCACACACCAGAGTTAAAACAAAGAAAGAAATGCTTGTAGGCTACCTTTAATTTATTCAGTGGTAATAAACAAATCTTCTTTTTGCTAAACTGCTGCTTACAAAGGGACAATGAAACCTTTTCTTTGTCCCTTTCGGAAAAAGTAAGGAAGATGCCTTGATGCTTCCTCAAGGGACGTTCATAAGAGAAAAACTTAAAAAACAAAATCTGGTCTGTAGCACTTTATAGACTAACAAAACATGTAGATGGTATCATGAGCCTTTGCAAAAAAGTTAGAAAATGAGTTTGGGATCCATCCTTTCATGGTGCAATTTGCTTCTCCAAGATTGCTGCAGCCTTGGCTACTTTGGAATGATGACATGCAAAGTGTTTCACCAGGGATAAGGAAACTGGAGGAGTTCACTATTTTATTCTGCGTCATAGCATCTTTTTAAGGATTGGAGCCACTGTATTTTTTGTTCAGGTGTGTTGGCTTTTGGTTGCTTGTAGGCTTGTCTGTTTGATTTTTGGTTTTTTGCACACATGCTACACTGCAAACTTTAGTGAAAAATAAGATCCACAACTGGTGCCAGGATCTCCTTGCAGGGACTGGGGCCTATATTTGTATCACACATGCATTCCGTATTGGGATGGGTTCCCAAACTTGGGGGCGTGAAGAAATTCCAGGGGGGTGTGAGGTGACCCAGCCCCCCCCCTTTCAAGTCCTCTCCCCCTCCAGTTTTGCTGCTATTTTTGTTTTTCGGCCCGGGGCAGTTCCTTTTTTTTTTGCTTTTGCTGAACAAGATTTGCTGCTATTTTTTATTTGGAGGGGGTGAGGGTTTCTTAAAAATCAAAAAGGGGGTGTGATGCCCAAAAGTTTGGGAACCACTGGTAGACTGTATGGCTGCGTCAGACTGGCAAGATTGTGCGCAAATACTTTTAACGGAAAAGTTTTTCTGTTAAAAGTATTTGCGCAAGAGAGCGTCTAGACTGGCATGTGCCTTTGCGCAAAAGCATCCGTGCCAGTGTAGACGCTCTCTTGCGCGATAAGCTCTGCCGGCCATGTTAGCCATCGGGCTTTCTTGCGCAAGAAATGAACGTTGCTGTCTACACTGGCCTCTTGCGCAAGAGGGCTTATCCCTGGGCGGGAGCGTCGCAGTATTTGCGCAAGAAGCCCTGGTTTTGTACATTACAACGTCAGTGTTCTTGCGCAAATACTCGCGGCCAGTGTAGACAGGTGGCAAGAGTTTGCGCAAAATCATACTAGTCTAGACACAGCCATCATTTTTCTGGGTTGGGGAACTGATTGTTGATGTGTCAGTAAAATGTTTGACTCATTTGCCACAGCAGAAAGGGTGGTGAATAATAAATATGAGCTTTATTTTCCTCGTTGTTTATTTGCATGAACCCACTTTGGGAATTACTTAATGCAGCATTCCTGTAAGGCAGCAATGAGGAACCTAGGCTAGTGAGTGGGCTGCATGAGTGGCCCTTCTTTGCCTCAGTGGGCCACAAGACTGTCATAACCAAGATAAAAGGAAAAACTATGTAGCACTTTCAAGACAAACAAGATGGTTTAATAGGTGATGAGCTTTTGTGGGCCAGACCCACTTCCTCAGATCATATTCTGGAAGAGAATTGGCATGACCATATATACCATAGCCACCAGCTAGGAGCACACAGAGCCACAACGGCGCCAAGGGGCACGCATAGACTCAACCTTGGGCACGCTGGAGATTAGTGTAGGAATCGCTACAGCTTGAGCTACAACCCAGCTGGCTCTCAGCTGAGGCTGTAGGGCTCCCCTTGCTCTTGTCTCTTGCTGTAGTGAGAACATCTTGCACAAGGGTTCTTGTGCAAGAAGCCTTGCACAAGAACACGTCTGCACTGCCATGTGCGCGCTGTGCTTTTGCGCAAGAGCGCCCGTGGCCGTGTGAATGCTCTCTTGTGCAAGAAAGCTCCGATGGCCATTTTAGCCGTAGGGCTTTCTTGCTCAAGAAACCCCTACCGAGCGTCCACACTGCCCTCTTGTGCAAGAGCTCCGGTGCAAGAGGGCTTACACCTGTTAAAAAAGAGCATCGCTCTTGTGCAAGAAGCCCTCTCTTCCCAGCCGTACTGTACATTTCCTTGTGCACGAGCAGGCTGGCAGTGTGGACGCTGTGCGGGTTCGTGCAAGGACGGCCGTACTTGTGCAAGGAGCCGCGAGTGTAGCTATCGCCTAGGCGTGGGGGTGACACACCGGGCAGATCCCAATCCGTGCATGCAGCATAGTGCTGGAGATGCAGCCGAACGAAAGGCAGGACCAGGCAGCACTTTGCTAGGGGCGGGTCCGGCCCCGGCAGCTCATCCCCTAATAAACCGTCCGGGGAGCCTG